AAATAACAACATGCATACAGAGCCTTCAGCATGACTGGACCGCCTCACCGGGCCTTCAGCCTAATTGGACCGCTCTTTGGGCCTTCGGCCTGACTGGATCTCCCTGGGTGTCTTGGCCTTCAGTATCAACTGGCCGCCTCAACCCAGTAAATCACAACCTTAACATATTGATATAAACATTATCATAATAATCAGCAACATAGGTAGTCCTATAGATCTACCAGTCTAATCACATAACCAGTAAACACATATCTCAGCATAACATCATACAGCAAAACAGGATATCTAATCCAATAGGTCGTCCTTGGTGCCTTCGACCCATAAGTACAGTGAAGAAAACTCACCTCTCAGTCTGAATACAGTCTGAATGAATCTCTGCTCCGACAACCGGCTCTACCCGACTCCTAATAATCAAAACATTTCCCAATCTAAATTAATATCAATTTCCCAAAATACCCTTGGTCAAAATCGGTCAAAATCAACGAAATCAGCCGAGTCAACTCAGCCGTCGTACGCGGGGTGTACTTCGGATGTACGTGGGGCGTACTCACTGTCTGAGGAGTTGGGGCTCAAACTGCGTATATGCAGCGTACCAATTGGTACGCCCAGCATACGCACTGATTCTCCACTTAATGAGTTAAGTACTTAATACTTGAGCTATGACGACCAAATTGTAGATCCAAATCCCAAATATCATCCTTGACCATAAAGTTTCCAACTTTATGGTCTTGCATGGCCAATAAGAGCTAAATACTAAAAACTCCATCCTCTTAACCCATTAAGGCAGTCAAACACATGCATGGAAAAGGATTAAGAGCCAAGACCCTATTTTTATGCTTATAAACCCTTCAAAACATCTGAAAGGACAACTAGAATGAACTAGAGCATGCCATACACCAAAAAGGTCAAGACTTGGGACAAAATGTTCATGAATCAAGGACTTAGCAAGATCTAATGAAATACAAGCCAAGTTTGAAACTTTATGCCTCTTGAAGGTTGCTAGAGAGGTGAAGATCCCAGATCCAAGGCTCCTTCAAGCTTCCAAGGTTGTTCTACTTCCTTCTTTATCCTTCAATACCACCAAAAAGACACACAAAGGTCAAGAATGCTCAAACAAGTGGCTAAGGTTTGCTAAAATCGACTGGAGGTGTTGGAGGCTGATGAGAGATGAGGTTAGAGGTCATAATGATGCTTAAATAGGGTCCAAACCCTAAAATTTAGGGTTTGAAACCTTCGCATGTACACCATGCGTGCGCGATGTACGCTCAGCGTACTAGACCCGTGCATGTACGCCCAGCGTACTAACCTTCAGCCTGAAATTACAAAAATACCACTATGGGCCATTTTACAAACTTTCTCATATACAAGGGCTAAATATTATAAGTCTTTATACTTAAGGGTTAAATTTGGAAATACCTCATCATCGGGATGTTACAGTGGGTGATGGTGACATGGTTATTTCACACATTTTCTATGTAGATGGTGTTCTTTTTTAGGTGAATAGTCTCAAAAGAACATGTCTAGTATGGTTAGGTTGTTGAACTATTTTTATTTGGCATCAGGCTTGAGTTTGAATCTTTGAAAATCAAATATTTATGGTGTTGGTGTTCAGTTTGAACAAGTAGAGATATGCATGTTTAACCCATTATATCTCAGGAAAGCTACCCTTTGTGTATTTGGGTCTTATAGTATGGGACAACATGTCTCAGATTAATGGGCGCAATATAGTGGTGGATTGGTTTCAAAAAAGCTTTCGAAAATGAAAGCTAATATGCTCTTGATTAGCAGTCGTTCGATGCTTATTTTCTCGATTTTGGGGATTTAGGGACCTATTTCATGTCCCGTTTTTGAATTCGGTTCAAGTTAAAAATATACTTGAATCTCTACGATCAAATTTCTTTTGGGGACGGATAGGTTATTATCGTAAAATGCTTTCGATGGAATGTCATTTGGTGCTTGCGTCTAAATACAATGGTGGTCTTGGTATTGGGAGTTTTGGATGCCTTTAATTATGTGTTACCATAAAAGCGGAGGTGGAGATTTATGAATGAAAATGATGCTTTTATGGGTTTGATTGATTAAGTCTTTGCATTGAAATCATGGTGGCGTTCCTGGTGATGACTCTAGGATTAAAGGAGGTGGTGTTTGGGCCCGTATCATCGCTTCTTATCATAAGTTGAATGATGAAAGTATTCATTTTTTTCTAATCTTTGAAAACGGGTTAGTTATGGTGATCGTACTAGTTTTTGGAACGATATCTAGATGTGAAGTTTTTGTTAAAGAATAGATTTCAAAGACTTTTTTACTTTGATTCAGATAAAGAGTCTTTATAGAGCCAGATGGGTTAATAATGCTTTACACTGGAGTTCGTGGCAAGGACTTTGTAGAGGTGTTGAGTGGTCTCAATTAGAGGCGTTGGAATTAGGGGTGTTGATCGGGCAATTCGGGTTTTTCATGTTAAAAATAATACCCATTACCCGACCCAAATTAAATTTGGGTACTTCGGGTTTGGGTAATTCGGGTATTACCCGAAATATATAATTTTTTTTAATGGCACCTGAAAATAAATTTAATGAAATAAATATGTCGTGCTCTATTAGTCTTGTTTATAAAAACAAACGAGGCATAAACGAAGTTACTCAAACTTTGAACATTGAGATTTTTTAGTCAATAATACTTGAGATATCAAGTAATCTTTTAACAGCTTAATTCAATCTAATAAGATGTTAAAAAACAAATACTTAAAGATCTTAGTTTAAAAGTTTAAAATGTTTAAGATAATTGTAGCCACAAGTTTTGTCATGTTCTAAAGTTTCGTCAAGATAATGAGTTTGTTAGTTACAATAAAAACTATAATCTAGAAAACAGTTAAGTTTTAAAAAAACATGGTGACATATAAACAATTGTTTTTAATATTGTTTGTGCCATACTGCCATAATAAAAGATATTCATGTTTTACAATAATGATAGTTAGTTTAAGCACAATCAAATACCTTGCTACTGAATACAAGCTCTACGAAAGAAAATAAATGAATTTTTAAAATAATTCGGGTATACCCGAAACCCAACAACCTTACCCTATACCTGACCTGAAAAAAAAAATCGAGTTACCCGAATACCCGAAAAAATTAACCTGATACCCGATTTACCCGACACCCAAAAAAACCGGACGGATAATTCGGGTATCGGGTATTTTCGACAGGGCTAGTTGGAATACTGTCTCCGTGATATGAAGCTTAGTGATCAAAGGGATATTTCGTTTTGGGATTTGGAGCATACAAGGATTTTTTTTTTTTTTTCAGTTAAAGCTACGTATGAAGTTATTAGATGGAATTGGTTTGTATCGAGGAATGTTAACATTATTGGGTGGAGGATTATTTTAAACCACCTCCCAACAATATTAAATTTGGTTAATCGTGATATAGATGCCCCGTCTACTTTGTTTTCATGGTATGAAATGATGATTTCGTGGTATGAAATGATGAAGAAAGTCTAGACGATTTTTTTATTGAATGTGAAATTACAGCAAGAACTTGGAATGCCACTTTTAAGTGGATGGATATCACTAAACTGAATTGGAACACACTCAGTGATATTTGTGGTTGGATCTATGTAACGTAATCAAAATTTGCTTAGAGGTTTTTGTCTTTTTAGTGAAAATTAAAAAATTTTGGAAAAATAAAATAAAAATGTTACTAAAATAAATAAGTAAAAGTTAACAAAATAAAATAATAAATATCAATGTTGTAAAAATTGCTATGCAGTAGCTAGCCGATCGTTTGGGGTCAAAAAAATAATCAGTCTAGATGGGGATTAATCGGTAACCCTAAATTTTAAAAAAAATATATATACTTAAAAAAAAAATATTATCAAATGACAAAGTCTGATTAATTTTATGCTCATATACACATCAAAGATTATACAAATAGGTAAATAAAACAAATAGCAAAGTTTGATTCATTTTATGTTAGATACACAAAAAACAGAGATTATTAGTATATATTCAATTACCCACTTATTTATGGTTTTATTGTATTTAGTTTGAAATTTTATTTTAAAAGATGTTTAACTTTTACACCTTGATATTCAGCACAATTATTTAAAATATATCAATAGTTTTTTTTATTAGTATAGATTGAATTACTTACTTATTCGTTATTTCGTTTGTATTTATTTAAAAACTAGTTGTAAAACCCGTGTATTACACGGTTTGATTAAAATAATAAAATATTAAAATGTAAATAATAAGTATTTTTTTAAAATAAAATTTGAAAATAAGGAATGAAGAAACATATTAATTGCAATTTAGTATAATATTTATTACATTTGATACTTTACATATATAACTATAAGTATTATGTGGCTTTTTAATTTAAAAAATTAGAAAAAAACAATAAACTGACATTTAGATATTATTTATTTAAAAATTATGACAAAATGACAAGTGTCAAAACTCATTAAAGATTGACATATGGCAAAATTATTTTCATTTATTATAGTAGATTTACTTTAAAAAATACTTGATGTTTACACCTTATATTTAACTTTTTTTTTTATTAACTTGTGTAGTATACGAGTCTCACTTCTAGTAAATATTATCAAATAACGAAGTCTGATTAATTTTATGTTCATATACAGATCAAAGATTATACAAATAGGTAAATAAAACAAATAGCAAAGTCTGATTCATTTATTATTTAGTTACATAAAAAACAGAGATTATCATAATAAGGGATGTCAAACGCCATATTGGCATTTTATGCAAACTCTTATTCATATGTGTCAACATGATAAGAGACAGAGAAGTGTAGGCATAGGGTTGTATCGTGACAGGTTTGTGTCAAATTAGCAGGTCATGTCGGTGTTTACCAACTTATCATGGAACCCGAAGAGCATTCTACGTATCATCAACAACCATAGAGGGTTAACTTCATGTTGCAGAAAAAGATCAACATGTATATCTTCAACCATATCCCCAAACTCGTAACAGAAAATGTATTTGACCAAAAATTTATGTCAGTTCTACAAAGGGACAGAATTAAAAACTCGGTATTATATGTACAAGAAAAAAAAAAGAACGAAAAACGCATTGACACGTTATTGAGGATTCTAACATACTTTACAACTCTTCCGACAGTGTCCATGTGTATCAACAGAACCCACCATATAGATAGGATTCTTGTCACATTCGCCTCGGGCAGCCCAGAAACTGCAATTGACGTTTTCATCCCTGCAGCCTTGCGTTTCACTTGAAATAACCGGCTTAAGATCAAAACTTCTTACATGTATCCATTTGGTTGCCGACCATTTCTCCCCCTCTATCACAGGGCAGCTACCATGCAAGCTCAAAGGGTCGGTTGTAGCATTAGGATGAAGACTAAAAAATAATAAAGCATCTCCCTTCTTGGGTTTCACTGCAAAATCAACATATATTTGTTGTCAAATAATTAAACTTAAATGGAATTTCTCTATTAACTTGTCCTTCGTGCATGGAGTCAAAAAAAAAAAAAAAAAAAAAAAAAATTCCACATTAACATACCAGCATAACCTGTTTTCGCACACGTAGACCAGTCCATGTCAGCTTTCGGTTGAGATTCTTTTACCTAGGACAATCAGAAAGCCAATGAAAACAGGAAAACAAAAGCAAGATGATGTCATTTAGTATTTATCAAATAAAACATATATACCTCTGAGTAAGGAAATATTGTCTCTCCACCTTTCTTAACATTAGATAAATACATTAGTACAGTAGCTATCCTGTGACCACCTCTTTCCTGATTGATCTTATCCTGGAAGTAATCCCAATGTGGCGAGTATTTTTGACCATTTTCATAATGCAATATTTGCATAGCCTCCCCGTTTTCTACAGGAAGGAATGTCCAAACTGAAATCCTTGATTCAATTCCAGCAATTACTTCATCCTTCAAACAAATTATTATGAACATAATAATGTTACTTTGGATTTTTAAAGTCATATATATTGTTTTTTTTTTAAACTTAAAAAATCGAGTCTTTGCCATTCATTACTAGAAAATCATAGTTAAAATCTTTAAATGTGTTACCAAGCATGCTCCAATGGAAGAATTGACCCTAATGATAATGGATGTTATTCAAAAAAAGGTCACATACATGTAGATCTCACTTATTGTTCTAAAGCTAGTAATTAAGCTTTTGCAAACCTGAGCTTTCTTCAGAAACATGCCTGAGCTCGTTCGAATCGTACTTTCTATGCTCTTACCAGTTTGAACGTCCGCGACCATAGATTTCTCGAGCTTATCCTTCGCCTAATCAACAGAAATCATTAGCAAATTGGCGAAAAATGATCAAGTTCTCAGAGAATAAATTATTTGCATCAAGCTTGATAAAGAAATTCGACCAACCAGTCGAATGAGATGATCGCACTCTTCATCTGTTAAAAAGTTCCTGTATAAGAACGCCCTGTATTCCCCAAACAGAAATTAAGAGATAGCATGCTTTGAAATCATGTTTATGTTGAGACTAATTACGCAATTGTTAAGAATGTGGGTAGAAAACCTTGGATGCCACGAAATTTGGGTGACCCGAGATGGATCAAAAGGACGACCGTCAGACTCACCACTGGGCAATCTAATCACCGAACCTCGCCTGAAAACCATGAGCATTAGAAAATCAAATGATCCATCATAATTCTAGAAACAGAAAAAGGATTTGATCAGATGTATATGAATACATACATTTCGCGTAAGCCTGATGATTGGAGGTGGAAATCGGGGGAGAAAATAGAGAAACAGAGGACGAGTGGGATAAACAAATTCCGAAAATCCATTGTGAGAAACCTCAAAACCCCTGTAGTGGATTATCACATGATGTAAAGGGGGGGAAGGGTTGGGTTTATAGAAGAATTTGATCAAATGATTTGTTTCTAAATATCAAATAAGGGAAATTCAAGATGTCCAGGAAGAAACCATCCGTTGATGGAATTCGGTTGCAAACGAATATTTATAATTTCTGTTGAGAGCGCTTATGAATTTCTGAGCTTTCATGAAGCTTCTAACATATTGAACGCAATTCGAATGGAGGAAGCGCATGGATGGTTCATTTATGGCAACAATCTTTGAAGAAAGTGATATGTTCATAACATGTTATGATTCTAACTTTGATAAAGATATATAGAAGTTTGAGTAATTACTAAAATCTTTCCTTATGGTTTGGTCAAAATTGCACATTTAGTCTCTAACTTTTTTTTGCACTCGGATCGTCTTTGTTGTTTATTTTGTTGCGTTTTTCGTCCCTTACATACATAAAGTTAGGGACCAAACGTGTAATTTTTATCAAACCATAGGGACGAAAAATTCAACAAAATCAAACTAGAGGGACGATCCGAGTACAAAAAAAAAGATAGGGACCAAACATGTAATTTTGACCAAACCATAGGGACGATTTCAGTAAAAAAAATCTAATCAAACCATTTTCAAAAAATAATAAAAAAACTAGCTCAATTATCAAAATAACCAACAATTTTAAAGATTTGTAATTTAAAATTACAGGTTCTTAGTGAAATGATTATATCATCTGAAAAATGATGATAGGGCAACCAAAAACGACAACGGAAAGCAAACATTTATATAAAAAATTTGCAGACCACATCTATAAAATCTCATTTGAAGCTTTTTTGGGTTATAAATCTTCGAATACCATTTTCAAAACAAAAAGAAAGGTTTAAAACTTTTTTCGTATTTTCGCAGGCAATACCTATGATTTCGTAGATGTCATTTGGAAACAAAATATATCATCTACAAAATCATAAGTTTTATCTTACAAAAAGAACTTCAAAAAAAAAATGTTTTTTTTTTATATTCACATATAAAACTTAAAGATTTGGTAGATGTCATCTACCAAATTGAGGTTATTTTTGCAATTGGGCTAATTTTTTACTATTTTTTGGAAAGTAGTTGACAAGATTAGACATGTGTGTTTTTCTTTTTTATTGTAGCGATGTTTTATTAGAAGAAAACAAACAGAAGCAAGATGTTATAAAAATTCTAAAACAAGGAGGAAAGACCAAATAGAAACATATTTAAACCATGCTTAATGAATACCTCCTTTGGGATTTGGAAAGCAAACAAGCATGTTGAAAAGAGATGGTCTACATCTCCAAGGACATTGTTAGAAAGCGGTCTAAGGAAAAGATCTGTTATCATGTATATTATGCATACATACATACATACATACAAAGAGTAGGAAAAAAAAAACACAAATACCCAAATGTTGCAATGTTGGTCTAACCATCTTGGTTTGCTTGTATTCACATGGCATTTGTGTGTTTTCGAATTAGAACCATATTACGTGTTGGGAGTTGAAATTTGTGTATTCATTCCACTTATTGTATGTCATAATGCAATATGTATGGTTGGTTTCTTCTCCAAAGTTGTACAAGAGTTCCCACAAATGAGGTAAGACATAAGAGTCAAACTTATTGGTGTTTATATGATTAGTCGAGTGTTTTGAATGTTACAATAACTTAACATGGTTACATGAAAAAAAAAAAAAAAAAAAAAAAAAAAAAAAAAAAACTTAAGAAGATGATAAATGAGTCACTGAAAAACATCGGCCTTGAGCTTGAAAAGAAGATCATGAGCAATATGTTCCCAAGGAAGTGAAATTGACATGAGGCAGCATTTGAGTGGGACCATGTCCATTCCGCCATCTGAATTATTCCTTGTGGCGGCTGCTGCTGCATATGCATTTTTTGCAGCCACCTGTGCAACAGATGCAGCTTTGCGTACCATTGCACCAATCTTAAATCCTCCTTCTGATATATGTAAAGGCGAGTGAGGAGACCCAAAACCAACCTCATCTAGGCTATGATCTGAAGATAGCAAAGAGTAATTTCTTTTTGAGTTGACTATGTTTTAATTTATTGAATAAAATAATTGTATTTACCTGCAACGCCAGAAACTGCAACCTCAACCTCCCCACGGCCTCCAGGACCTTTCATGTATATCCTGTCTGTTTTTGTTTTGCCAGAAGAGTGACCAAATGCCAATAGGCTTCCAAATCCCGACTTACCAGCTGTAAAAAAAACATTACAAATCAAGATATAGCTAATATTTGTGTTAATTCATATTTCAAAAAAAAAATTAAAGCTGTTGAATGCAAATTCAGAGATATTTACCATCATAGGCTTCACGAACCATTTGGTAGCTCACAAATCCTGAGAAGAGAGTAAGCTGTCATCACAATAATACAAACCTTGTTAAGACTCCAACTGCACATGCTCGCTAGGAAAACACAACGAGTATAGAAAATCCAACTACTATCTTCTTAATCAGTAAGAGCTATATATGATACGAGTGTTTTTTCTCTTCTTTTTTACTTAATGCAGCAAGAAAGAAGGACTGAATAGTTATGATCAAGTCCTAACTTGTTACAGATTTTCCTCATTTAGTTTTCTCCTTTCATATTCCCATATCATATTGCATTCCATCATTTTCTTAAATATTTTCTCCTAAACAAAAAAGAAAGAAGAGCATCAAAGCAAACCTTAGTTTTATTAATTTGTCCAGTTTCACTTGAACTAGTATCATCTTGTGATGGCATTTGAGTGGGGAATGCTGCCCCTCCAACTGCATTTAGAAGTACACAGTAGCAATGGTCTGTATCTGTCAAAACCTGAAAAGGAAACAACTTTCTTATTAGGACATTATATTTTGAAGAATCAAATCTACCGAATTATAGCAGAAAAAATGGCATTGCTATGCTTATAAATGGTAGATTTTTTTTTTCAAAGTCCAAGTCCAATGTTGTAAGATGAAAGTAGATTGCTATGCTATTTACCACGGCATCGAAGGTTGAATCAAAGTCATCAACTGCAAAACAGATATCCGGATATGCAGGTTTTGTCTCCACTTCCTGACAAATAACACAACTCCTTCAGAATTGATTTGAGAGAATGAATATAAAATTATAAATATAATCAAGTTGCAAAAACAGCATGGAAGGTAAAAAAAAAAATGATTGTGCCTTTCTCGAGTCCAAGTGGAAATTCACACGGCTTGGAGATGCATACACCGTTTTCAATATCTGGAAACCACAAAATAAATGTTAATTATTGATAAACAACTTAATTTGAAAACTTATCCTTCAATATTATTAATTTACCATCCCGAATAATATAAAGGATATTTCACATGTATGACAAAAATTTACTTCAATATTAAAAGCTAAAACGTGAAATGTACGAACACGTGATGTTTCATTTTATGAATGTACACATGAATTTGGAAAATTCTTTTGAAGAATGGTACTTGGCATTATCTCTTTCAAGGGTTTTAATTTGGATTCCCAATTGGTTTTAAACATAAGAATACAACTTAACAAAAATATTAAAAATTTTAAAAAGTAAACGGAGAGCAAGTCACTCAAACAATGTAATCAGGTTTAGATATAAGGATACAGGCAAGGAGATTCATGTTCATAGAAAAAAAATTATAGATAAAAAAGGAATGATAGTCGATAGAAATAGAGAAATATAATAATGTCAAAAAAGTTACCTTGTATATAGGAGAGAGTGGTGTTCCTTGGTTACTCTGATAATTCTGAAGAGACTGACGACTGAAAATAATCATAAACTTCAGGAAGGGGAAATAATAATAAATAAATAAATAATAGATAATACGATAATTAAGAATTTATATATTTTATGAAAAATAATAATGTTTGTTTTTGGGTTGCACTCTTTTATAATTGTGAGGGATTTACTTTTATGCACAAGTGTTCCAAAAAAGAACCTGTTAGTGAAGGCTTGAGCAACATAACGAAATTGTTAACATATAATATTAAAAGAAACCCATAAGTAAAATATTTCTAAATCAAATTCCAAGAATTTAGTTAAAGAGCTCTATGATAATTGTTAACATATAATATTTGAAGAAAAAATAATTCAAAAGCTAGACATGGTGGTCCGAGCATAAAGAATGAAAATTTGTAGTTGTGGCTAATGTATAATTAAATAAAAGTTGAGGGAGTTTTAGGCAAATTCCTAATGATATGGAAGGGAAAACTTACCTGCAAATTGCAACTGTTACACTATATGAAGTGTGGGCAATTAAGTTCAAGTACAATGAACGCCTCCAATCTATAATTACTGAGCTCTCTCCAACTAAATCATCCAACTGTCAAAGAAGAGCATGAGATAAACATCATTACTAATTTAACTTAAATAAATCCACACCACAATCAAGAATAACCAGTGGTGCATATCTAAAGAAAAAGAAAAAGCAAATACAAGCAATGAAGCTGAAAATAAAGGGAAGCAAGGTTATTAATTTAAATCATGCCACAAATATCATTGCTTTATTTACCTTGGCAGCCCACCTGCGAACAAAGTAAGGGGAGTTGCCTTCAAGATTATCATTGAACCCATATCCATGCAAGCCCTGAAACCAAAGGGCAAAATGGTCATCAAAAAAGTAAACAACATTTTTGCATTTGAGTGTATGAGATGAAGGCAATAATACCATTTTCCTAACAAAGAATAAGAGATCATCATCCTGCTGTTCTTTTGAGTCCCTTCCACCAATGAAATATAAATCTAAAACATCATGCCAAAACTTTTGATCCATTTCAACATCTGAAGCATCTTGCTCATCTACTACAGTTTTTCCTATTAAGTTTGAATGTTTCTTCACCATACTCAACAACTCATACCTATAAGAAAAACATGAATTTTAGTAATCAGAATTTTGGATATCAAATTTGCATAAAGAAATGAAATCAGTTTTACAAAAGGATACGGAATAAAGAATGAGTTGTATGCTTTACCTAGAAGGGGATTCCCCTCCATCACCAAGCATTTTCTTTTCTCCCTAAATTTCAGAGCTTCAATGATGAATTCAATCTGGGATCACTGAGATAAAAGACAATGTTGAAGGAAATCATGGGAATCCAAAGAAGAAAAGGATGATGACAGAAAAAGATGTTGTAAGTACATTTTCTGAAGATTAAAGTAGGATGTTGTGATAATAAAAGAAACCACATTGTTATTTCTTGCATTTAGCCCTAAAATCTAAAAGAAAAAGAGAACTAAGAGTATGCAAGAACCTGTTTTGTGCGATGTTTGAAGCTCTGCTATCACCTCTCCCAAGCTAGCATCTCTATGGATGTAGATCATAAAACTAAAATGGATCAATACACTTAAAATGTAACATAAATTTTTTTCTTGATCTTTATTATTCAAATGTGTTAATCCACCTGGATTGGGATGCAGAAAACCCTTGATAGGATTTTGTCCATATTTCTTTGAAGAATAACCTGCATATCTTATCTTATGTGCGAATAAAAGGCAGAGGCTAGACTCCTTCCTTCTTACTGGATTTCCATTCCTGAAAAAAAAATTAATAAAAAAATAAATCAAAACAAAAGACTAATAAAACTATGATGCCATAAGTTGGGTGCACATAAGCATCAAGACATCGCTAAAACATGCTAGTTAGTAAACTAATAAATGTCAAGGTGAAATGGTGAATAGATAATGAAAATAACACAACATACACAATACGGCTTAAGAGGATACCTATTGAAATCTGAAGTTATGGTAAATAAGTGAACGCATAGAAACTAATGTAATGAACCTGAAACAAACATTCAAAGGGTAAGAAGGTAGACAGGGGAATTTATTTTGAAGCTGCAGAAAAGAAACTGAAGCCATAGAGAATAATATATGGAAGTTGAAACAAACATGTAACTGGTTCTGGTAAACGCAAGAAATAGGCAAATTCAGCAGCTTTTTGTTCTCGATAATAAAGTTGGAAGCATCTTGTTTCAGCAACATACTTTCAGTGATTTGCTTATTACAGCATCATACCTCCATTTGATGTTACTAAAAATAGGAATTCTAAAAGGCACAGAATCATAGCACTGTCATTTATAGAGCCAAACGGGTTCAAAGGGGTTGAATTGTTACGGGTAAAATAGATTTATTTCTTGCATGTATGGTCTACAGGCCTTTTTGCAGTATCCTTAAACAAAATAAACTTTGCTTAATACGTTAAAAAAATTCCAGAGTATACATTAAAGGAGTCAAAAACCTTTAGTTACAGAAAAAACTGGTGATCACAGGTAAAAACCAAGGAAATGTGTTTAATATGGTATTTCAATGGAAGCATATGTGAGAAAGGAGAAATTGTAGTATTTAACATGACAGAAGTTTAGCGGGGTAGGAATCAAATGGGCATAATTGTTAATTTTAATGTTAACTCTAATCAACAATCACATGAGGATGAACCTAATAAAAATCAAAACCTAAAACTATAGCAGGTAGTCAAAGAGCTTACCGGAGTTCAGGATACGACGGATTCAGAGGTGGACGAAGAAGGAAGAGCAGCGGTGCGACGATGTTGAACGGAGAAGGGCGCGATGGTGGTTGTCTGCAGTATACAGAGTTGCGGCGGAGGCGACCGACAACGTATATAGAATGGTGGTGATGTGAGAAGGGAGAAAACCCAAAACGATGATGCTAGAAGCCGAGGGTGGTGACCTTCTGAGGAAGTAAGGAAGGGTGAAAAAATAATGGAGATAAGGATAAATATAAAATCAAAAGAACGTCAATTGTTATAAAACTAGAAAGAAATGTCCAAATACTGCAGCAAGAAGAAGGGTATGGCAAATTAAAATGAAAGAATACTCACCAGAAAACACATTCTCGTTGATCTCAGGAGAGAATAACAAATTAGATTCAAATCATGTCAGGGGAGAGAGATAAACAAAGAGTTTTGAGATCTCTTCACTTCGAATTTTGCGATTTTGGAACTGGAACAAAACCTTGATTGTGTAGTTTTGGGTGATAATTTCCAAGAAGAAGAGGCCAATTTGCCCTCTTTGAGCTAATTCCTAAAACAGTCCCTTGAGTGTATATGAGACCCATACGAATGCATCAACAAATCCACAACGTTGTTTTAACAAGTTTCATATGGATGTTTTAAAATTAGTAAACATTTCTATAATTTTAAAAAGCAAAAAGTTAAAAAAGAAAAAGAAAAAAAACATATTCTAAATAAAATTAAAATATGTGAAATCGGTGAAACTTCAGGGGTTACACTTGTAACTTCGGTCCGACACCAAAACCTTAAATAAAATGAAAGACCGTAAATTTGGTCTACCTGGTTTCCAAAAAAAATTTAGATAGGATCCAAATTTTCCAAAAAATTATAGATAGGATCCAAAAAAATTTCGAATTGCATGCAATGAATGATAAGTTCAAAAATCAAAAAAATTCCATGGTTTTGGTCCTAACATTAAGAAATTTTCGTGCTTTTGATCTTTGGAAAACTTGAAAGGATGGTTTTGCCCTTTCAATTTTTTTTTTTGTATTTTTTTTATATTTTCTTTGGTAATTTGTTAATGAAAAATAAAAATAAAAGAATAAGGACTCTCTCTCTCTCTCTTGCATACAAACAAGTTACAAAACTCTATGAAGAACAGAGGTTTTTGGGATATGTCATCAAGAAATTGACACCAAAGACTCATGCGTCTTTCTCTCTTTTTCTCCAGATTTATAGGATGAATAATCATCTTCATAAACTGAACTCACAGTCTCTCACACACACACACACACATTAACAAAAAAAACCCAACTAAACCCTACATATCCATCTCCGATCGATCTGTATACAAATTCAAGTAGTCAACTTCTCAGACGAGCCACTTCGATTGAGCGTTTCCCTAAAATTTTGTTTGGGTTCTTCATTTGAGCGCATCTCAGAAAATCAATTTCTTCATCTACGATCGATGAATGTCTCTCTCTCTCTCTCTCTCTCTCTCTCTCTCTCTCTCTCTCTCTCTCTCTCTCTTGCTCCGAGGGGAGAACATTGAAGGGTAAGGATCCGACATAAACACATTCAGTTTTGGGTATTACAAAGTGAATCCGAGTTGAATGACATACCCATTTGTTGGCAACTATGATACGAAGACCACAGGTGGCAGACGAAACAACATCTGAAAACCAATATGTCTCATTTTTATTCCAGTTATCCATTCTGCCATTGTACATGTATTTGATTATGAATCGACGGTATTATAGCGTTTCTTTTGAAAACAAAATGTCACATGGATTGGTAATAGAAGAAGGGTTTTAGAGAGAGAAAGAGAGATAGGAGGAAAGATTTTTGGGATGAATGTGTGACATCCCCTATTTTTCAGAACCAATTAAAACTTTTGTGTATGCTTTAAAATAATGAGTTGTTTTGTTGTGGAAAATTTCGATTTAATAAAACATTTTTATTGAGATGACAAATATTGTTTCAAAATATTACAATACCAAGGATGTCATAATTAAATATCCAACATAAGTTACAACATAAATATTTAAAGGTCTTGAATACTATAACAGACTCAGCTCTTATTTACACGGCGTCCTAACTTAGATTCTAGCAGCCTTAGTACTGCGACTTGTCATGCATACAAATTGAGTGGGTCAGGTTTGGAAAAGCAGGTGAGATACATAGGGTTTTCAAGCTCATAATAATTTAATTATATTAAATTATATTAATAAATCGCAAAACAAACATTTCCAAACTATATATATATATATATATATATATATATATATATATATATATATCCAACGTAAATGTGACAATTGCCACCAGTCACAAATTATAAAAGGACTCCGAAAATGATAAGTATCTAAACACAAGGCTTAGAAACCTCGGTATATAAGAGAAAAATAGTCCAAATATATACGTAAATCGTATGATTAAGTGCGCAAAAACTTGCGTTGACTAGTATAAATTGGTAACATATTAAGAAAGTATGTTGCTAGGCGATTTCAAGGATATAAACTTCGTCAGAATCTGACTTCGATTGGAGAAATTATGTACTAGGAGATTGGTTGAGTTTTGGCTAAAGTCAGTAAAACGAAAGTCGTAGTACTCCTTGAAATAAGAACTTAGAGGCAAGGAAGACCAAAAACGGAGTACGTACAAAGAATATATGATTTTCAGAAAAACATAAGGACAATTAAAAATGGAAGTTGGAATTAGCCAAAACGACGTAAAGGAAAGTTGTAGTAATCATTAATAGATACACAAATATATAAAGAATGTTAGAAACAAGATTCATATAAGAAATATATGAATTTTTACAAAATATTAACTATGCATGAGTAATGCACGCCACGCACGACGTGCATGTATGACACCCATAATCGTCGAGATACAAGAGACGTGGACCATCAGAAAAGTGACATGTGGAAAGTTTTGAATTGATCCATGAATCCCATGCACGGCGCGCATAGATATTTGCGTTGCGTGCATGCCAAAACCGGCCCTATAAATAAAGGTTTTCACTTCTCCAAATCTTCACACCTCAAACTCTTTCCCTTTTCTCTTAGAATCGATCCAGAATCCTCTCCTCCTCCCTAGATGGCTGGAAGTTCCCGATGCGATAACCTGAGTCTTTCATATCACCCTGTTAAGGTGAGTTTCACGACCCCACTTTTACCGTTTTCAAATGTTTTTATGGGGAGAATACTTGCTATAAAACTATTTCAATGATTTTACAAAAAAGATTATTTCTCGTAATATATCAATAGTTTTTAAACTGTATGCATCGTTAGGATAATATTTTGTTCGGTAGTTACCCTGCCTAAACTTTAAGAATGATATTATGCCTAGTTCTAATAATGCCTCACATTATAGTAAATGATTATACCTAGTTTTTATGCTGGAAAATCTAGTTTAAACACCTCACCGTTCTTACCTTGTCATTATTTTCGTAATTAGATAGATCAGTATAACGACTGGTATTACTGATAAATCTTATTTAAAAGTTCATAATAATGATTATAAACATAAATATACGTTATACTTTAAGCACGGTAAACATAACTCAACTTACAAGTTGTTTAGTGGAAACTCAGACTCTGCGCGGGCAAAACTTTTAAACCAAAAGCTCTATTTCTCCAGGCTCTCCAACACTCTAGAGTTTTGCTATTGATGCTTAATAAGTACTAGAACCAAGCCTCGAGGATTCGGGAGAGGTTGGAAGAAATTATAAGTGAATTGGCAACAAAATGAGTGAGAAATCGAGGTTATTTATAGGAATTTTCAGGGGACGCGCCGCACCCTGCCATGTGTCACAATCTTAGGGCTTGTTGTGGGAGGGAGGGTTTACTTGATGGCGACACATGTCGCACTCCTGGTGGTGCCACGTGTCGCTCCCGCGTTGGTCGAAATTTAATTATTTTCTAAATTTCATAACATATGGGCTCTGTTTTTTATGGTTTCTATATCCATGCATAGCTATCTACGACTACTACAACTTTCATTTTGGACTTCATCGGTTAATTTTCACTTTATTTTTCGTGATTCGGTTCGAGAGGGCTTACAATATAAATAACGTTGCGAAATTCATAACTTCTTCATACGAGCTTTGTTTTCAACGTTCATTATATCGTTGGTCTCCTATTGAAGATTACTTCAACTTTCATTTAGATTGTTTCGGCTAACAATCAACCGATTTTTATTTCGATTTATGCATCGCACTCGAAACTTTAAAAAATCATAACTTCCTAATACGAAGTCAGATTTAGGCGTTATTTATATTGACGCGTAGCTATTGACATGTACTACAAATTTTGTTTACAATATTTATCCTATTTACACTTTTATTTTAAATTGATATTTTTATCCTTTCGTTTCGTTTCTAACCGTATTTTAATACAAATATTATTCCGTTATAATATTTATATGTATAACATAAATACAATATTATATATAAAGAAACTTTGTAAACACATAACACATAAGAAAACTTCTCATTTATTTATTTATTTATATTGCAATTTTACATTTATTCGACAACGTAAATGAGGGTTTATCCGCATAATGTCTAACGAAAAGTGTGGGCGTTACAGAATGGGTTTTGATTTCTTTTTTGGTTCTTGTCGTTGGTGTGTATAGTTCATACGCAATTTCATCCACAAGTTTGAACTCTGCAATCTTGTTCCTCAGGCGACTTCGAATGGATGATTGTAGTTGTTTCTTGGCGACGACAACGGATTCTGTAACGCCCTAAATTTCCAGAATAAATTTTTAAATTTTCAGATAGAATAAACAACCATTTTTTGTAAATACATCTAAGTTAAAAACCATTTGTTCAAAGACCATATTTCCAATTCAGAGTTATAAGGGAAAACAACGTGAAATCTCGAATTATAAAACTGCTAATGTGCTTGTGCACAGTCCCGCCTTCGCCATCCGATAAGTACCTAAAAAACATTTAATCAACAACTGTAAGTCAAAGCTTAGCGAGTTCCCCTCTAAAATATCCCACACAACAATACACATACAATCCATGCACACATGAGCCTTTAATATGTCTGAACCGTTTCGCAAGGCCTACAGGATGCTTGGACCGCTCTACCGAGCCTACAGTCGACTTGACCGCCTCGCAAGGCCTACAGTAGCTGCACCGCTACCTTGGGCCTACAGTCTGACTTGAGCGCCTCGTAAGGCCTACAATATACCTGGACCGCCCGGGTATCTTGACTTACAACACAAAGCAGGACCGTCTCAACCCAATCAACCATAGTATGTCAACATATAAAAACAGATAAACAATAACCAACAAAGAACAGGTAATCATAACAGATCTACCAGTCTAACATATAACTACAATGATACATATTGCAGTACAAAGTATAGTGAGAAAACTCACATTAGCTAACCAACAGAGGTTCAACAACAATACTAAGCAACAGGACAGTTGACACAAGCTACCTAAACCAAACCGAAACTAAATCTTAGCTAAACACTCAATTCTATCATAGTTTGACCAACTGGTCAAAAAGCCAACATAGTTGGTCACCACGTCGTGACCATGCACCTTCCACGACGTGGCAATTCCTCGACAAAACAGTCGCGAAGAATCCACTTGCCACGACGTGGTAAACATGTTGTCATGTCGTGGGAACGGTCCAGAAATCACTTATAGATGAGTGACTAACCATGATAAAAATTAAAACCACAAATATTTTTCACAAAACTGAAAAAATTAAAAAACTAAACTTATATTCCTAAAAACCCATGGGACCATTTTTGAAGATCTGTGGGATTATAATTTACTCAAAGCTTTATATTAAGCTTAGCTGGAGCCTGGATGAGTTACACCCCGTTCCCGAGTTCAACTTAACGAGAGAAAGGAAAGGAAATGAGTGGAAATGAGAAGAAAATAAAAAAATTGGTGTTCCCGAGTTTCATTAAAGGAGGGAAGTGGAACGAAGTGGAGAGAAATGGGAGGACCACTTTCCCTCCTAACTTTCCTTCCGATTTGGGAGGATTTTGAAGGGAAAAACAAAATGATTCATTTTCCTTCCACTTCTCTCCAACTCAGGAACGCAAAAGAAAATTTTGTTTTCCTTTTCTTTCTCTTTTTTCTCTCGTGACCTTATTTTCTCTTATCTTCTTTTCTTTTGTTAAACTCGGGAACCACGGGTTAAGTACGCGTAGTCCATACTTCCTCTCGACTTCGACGGTGTGTGTCTTGTGTATTGTGTGAAAACTAAAAAGGATCATGGGATCGGTGGCGTCAGCGTTGATGGGAGGAGGAGAACAGACCCCCAACGACGGCGATACATCATCGGATGAATCACGAGTTATCGAATTTCATTCTTCTAACCGCTGGCAGCTCCATTACAATCAGTCAAAACAATCCCCCAAACTGATGGTCGTAGATTTCTCGGCGTCATGGTGTGGACCCTGCAAGATGTTGGAGCCCTTTATCCGCTCTCTCGCTTCCAAATATCAAGAAATCGACTTCATCAAGATCGATGTCGATGAATTACAGGTATTTTTTAATTAATATCATATCATCATAGTCATCTGGAACTGTATGGTGAACCGATTAGGTCAATCCAACATTTCGATTCATAATTCCATTCCAATGAACTAATCTAACAAATAAGGTTTAGGTTTAAACTTTAATTTCAACGAGTCAGCGAAAAACCCTAATTGATCCGTGTGAATTTAAGTCGTGGAGTTAGAATCTGAAGTCGATCAACCGATTTTGCTTCAATTCCAATTCTATGAATCCCGAACTTGAGTTCCCAAGGTGATATTAGGGTAAACTTTTTACGTGTTTTCAATTTGCTACCACTTTCTGTAATTGGTTACATAAATCGATGATGAATTTGTATCAAATTGAGACAAGGGTACATAAATCGTTATTGTAATTATGAAGATAGATTGGGCGATTTAAAAAAAAAAAAAAACGGATGGATGGATGATTGTAGGATGTGGCACAGCAATTTGGGGTGCAGGCAATGCCAACAATTGTATTGCTAAAACAAGGAAAAGAGGTGGGAAGGGTTATTGGTGCCAAGAAGGATGAACTGGAGAAGAAGATTCTTCAGAACAGGGAAGCTCCTAAATTTGCAGCTTGATTCATATTTCTCTATTCTCTAATGTTTGATTAAAAGTTATTTTGTGCAATTGGTATCAGAATTCAGAATTGTACCAAATAAATTAATCGTTTATGTTTAGTATGAATTCTCCAACGTTTTTTAACTACTTGAATTAATTATTGGTGATGTTGGTTGATATAAAGGTGAAAGGTCTTTATCAATATATAATATGATGGTATTGGCTTCGATCCTTGTTTCTTGTTGTTTCGATGCAACCTAAAACAAAACAAATGCAGGAGTCATTTGGATGCTTATCAAATAAGTTAATTGATTATGGCTTTGTTCGGATGAATTTTATTGAATGCGTTACTTTTCTAGAACAATTCATGCAAGAACCATGGGAAAAACTTTACTAATGTACTCATCAACCTCTATACTCTGATATTTAATGCATTGAAAATGAAATTGATCACGCCGCTTTTATAGAGAGTGCATACCTTAATGATGTTAAAAAAAATTCATTAATGTTAACTACAATGGTGATGCTTTAGAGGAATGGTTTGAAGAGGACAAAGATCAAGTGGTAAGTAATCATGTATTGAGGGGGAAGAGAATCATCATTGTCTGTCAGATAACTTGGCAGTTGACTTTGAATATAAGGATGAAATCAATTGTATGAACAAGACAAGTATCGACAAATTCTAGTAAGTTATGTCTTATTCAAAAACCAAAGTCGGTGAAGGATGAACAAAACCATGAATCAGATAAGATTGATCATGTAGTTGAAGTTCATGTCATCTTCAAAGATAATTTAACTCTCTTTTCACATTAAATCTTTGAAAAGTGAACAAAACATTGCTATGAAGTTCAAAAATTGGGCTCTATTTATAACATATACATGGATTGGTAGTCATTATATAAAAAAAATAATGCATAATGAAATAAATGAGCATCATACAACTTAGATTTGAGGTTATAAAAACGATTAGCATAAAGGTCTGTCTTGGGCAATATAGGAGGGTGAGAAAACATGCTTTGACGCTTATAGAGGTACTTGTATAGCACTAAACTAAATTATGGTCTTATGTTGAGAAGATTGGAAGATATAACCCAAACTATACTGTTAAACTGGATATATTCTTGTATAACACTAAGCTAAATTATGGTCTTATGATGGAGTTAAAAAGGGGGCGGATTGAAGGATGTTAGGGATAATTGGGCTTGATGGTTGTTCTTAAAAGTTATTTGTAGTATAGAGTTGTTTTGAATGTGGGTAGGGATGCAAATAATCAAATTCTCCATGCTTACTATCCACAAAACTATACAACACACAAAAGGAGAGAAATGGACGGAAATAATACGAAAGTAAAAGAAATTGATGTTTCCAAGTTTCATTGTGGAAAAAATTGAATTAAAATTTTCCGTCTTAACTTTCCTTCCAATTTGGAAGGATTTAGAGAGAAAAGAAAAAAAAATGTTTAATTTTCTTTTTATTTCTCTCCAACTCGGAAACACAAAATACATTGCACTTTATTTTCTCTCTACACTTTCTTTTCTATTTTTTGCTAAACTCGGGAACTAGGCGTAAAGAACAATAATCTCATGATCCTTTAAAAGCCTTCATCACTACACAAAAGAACACATCAAAGTAGATGATCATCCTTTTTGATACTTTCAACTTGGACTTCATTATTCGCAACACAATTGTCAACTGGGGAATCTCCCCCTCTAAGTTTTTATTTTTATTTTTATTATTTTTTTTACCAACTGCTTTTATAGTTCTTCCGCTTGTGTAACCTTCTTTTTGGAGCTTCTTAGTGTATGTACTATCTTCCATCTATTTCAGGTCGCTTCTCGGCCCCAAGATAGTTAAACGATAGTTATCATTTCCAAGGTCACACTACTTGAAGAATTTATAGTTGTGTGTCTACTGCTAATAACATTAAACAAACTTCAGTTCGGCTTTAATGCAAAAAATTTGTGCGATGTGTTCTAAGATACCATATATAACTTGTTAAAGCTAAATTGGACACCTTACACAAATCGAAGATCGAAGATATGCATACAAGTGAACTAGTGCAATTTTAGAACCTTGGCATTGGATTCTCGATGGACCATGATTTACGATCCATCGAAGGTAACATGCAGTCACACAATGGTCTTTCATCTGCATCGGAGTTGTTGATGCTCATTATGTTGTTGTTGGTGCTCAAAGAAGACGCCATTGATGGAGGTCCGATCTTGGGGGTTTTGAACGTTTTGTCTGATCTTGATAGGGGCACAATGAATATAGAAGGGTTGGGTGGGGAAGCCTATTAATTACGTTAAAATTTGAGTACCACGTTGGAAATAATGTGGTCATATTGGTGCCACATGGACAACACACTTTATTTTTATCCATAATAACAATGTGTACGTCTGTAGGAAGTCAAAATAATTTACCATTTGAGTTGAGGAAATTACATGATTAATCAAACAACTTAAACTATGAAAACTCATATCATTTGTACATTGATCAACATAAACTTTTTGAAAAATACCTGTCCAATTAAGAAATTTTGAATCTTCAAAATGGAAGATGCAATTTCCTTTGTGTTTGGTACCTTTCATCTACCATCATCCTTCCAAGTATGTTGAGCAAACACAGTTTATCTATGATCTCAAAAGTCCCATGTCCTTCATTCTATTGACAATTCTTGAAGCATCATTCAACCTATTCGCCCTTTCATAAACACTAGCAACAACAAGATACAATTCCTTCTTATTAACATTGGAATCACATTCCAATCTCTCAAACAACAACTCCACCTTCTCAAAATCCCTTTTCGCACCATAAAGACTCAACATCTGAAAATGCACTTCATCTTGAAAAACACACCCTTCATCCTGCATCTCAACATACACACCATTCGCTTTCTCAAACTCCCTCAACTTCCCATACGCATTTAACACAAGCCCAATCACATTCCCATCAGGAAAAAACCCCGCTTTTCTCATCTTATCAAACACGTCAATCACACTAGAATACTTTCGGTTTCTTGAAAATAAATCAATCATACACGAGTACACCGATATATCCTTAATCTCTCCAAAATTATACGCCTGGCGAAAAACCCATGTAGCCTCTTCGACCCGACCCGCTCCAGCAAGAATTGTAATGGCTGTAGCCCGAGGAATATTATCCGGGTGTTTAAGTTCATGAAGCAATCTTTTTGCATGCCCAATTAAACCAGCTCTTTCATAAGCTACAATCATGGTTTGATAAAGAACTTGATCAATTTCAACACCAGAGCTTCTTAATTTCTGGAACAAAATTGCAGCTTTATCCAACTTCCCTGATTTATCCCATATAGAAATGATGGTTGAATATGTTATGGCATTTGGTTCTATCCCTTTACTTTGCATTTCTAGAATAAGATTATTAGCTTTCTCATGTTCAAGTGTTTTTCCATAAATCTTGATCATAGTGTTGTAAGTAACAACGTTTTGACTGATATCTTTTCTCTGCATTAATCTGAATAAATGTATGGCTTCCCCAAAAAGTTCGGCTTCACCATAAACTCTTAAAAGGGTGTTGTAACTTACCACATTTGGTTCGATTCCCATCTTTCTCATGCCCCAAAATAATCTATCTGCTTCTTTAGCCATATCAAGTTGACCATATACATCTATCATGATGTTGCAGGTTGTAAGGTCAGAGAAACAGTTCATTTCTTTCATTTCTGAGAATATTGATAAAGCTTCTAGGTATTTTTGATTCTCGGTGAATATGCTTAAGAGTGTAGAGTAGCTTACTGTATCAGGTGTAACTCCAACTGATCTCATTTCTTGAAGTAGTAATCGAGCTTCACGAAATAGTTTTGCTTTTCCAAATACGTTGATCATGGAATTGTAAGCTACGAGGTCAGGGGAGATGCCTGATTGTTTTAATCGAGAGAAGATTGATATGGCTTTAGAATAATCACATAGCTTACGAGACAACTCGATTAGGTTGCTGTACAGTACAAGATCTCCAGATACATGATCATGTTCCATCTTCTGTAGCCAAGATAACGCGTCGTCGAACTTACCTTCTTTCCCGAAATGCGTGATTAAAGTGGAGTAAGTATACCTATCAGGCGAAAGTGCTCTTTGACGCATTTCATCGAACAGTCCGTAGGCAATCTGCCACTGCTTTGCTCGAAGCACATTACGTAAGACCACGTTGTACGCGTAGACTGAAGGGGTGTATAAAGCTTGTTCGTTTATCCAGTCAAGCAGTGCTAATGATCGTTGCCAATCGGTTTCACGGGAAAGGATGGTCACCATGAACCGTATTGAAAGTTGTCGGGTTTTGTAAGGAGACAATAAAGCGAACAGTTCGTGCTCGTTTGATGTTTGATTGATAGATGATACGAGTTCGTCCATGTCTACGCTGTGATCTAAGTGACCCGTTTCTGGTCTTCGACGATAAGGTTGGAGAAAAGATGATGGTTTTAGAGTTGTGGACTTTGAGGGCTTCCGCCATATATCTTTGCTTGAGGAACTGGAGATTACGACGAATACTGAACGGTGGCGTAGTTTTTTCCGGTGACTCGTCGACGGCGAGAAGTTGTGTAAGTTGATTGTGGTGTAAGGTATGGAAGAAGTAGTCAGTGACGACGCATCCATGTACATCATCTCACGGTTTCTCCGGAGTGGCGCCGTTCTCTCTAATTGCGGTGGTTGTTTTGTTTTGACCCGCTAGAATTTTTCATTAGTTTAAGTGCACCATCTGATTTTTAAGTATACCAACTCTTACCCCTTTCTTGTTTTTAAATAACATTTAAAGAGCTCATCAACATATATAAAAAGTAACGTAATGTTTGTTTTTTGTCTGCAGATCTGCGTGGCCTCTTCTGTCTGCGCCGCGCAGACATTAGCCTTTGCAGACTGTTTGTTTTTTTTGAAGACTGCAGACCTAAAAATGTCTGCGTGCCCTCTTCTTAGCGCAGATGTGGACCAGAGTCTTCTAACATCTTTAAACATCTTTTAGCCTAAAAAAACATATATATCTTTATTTTTTTTAAGTTTTTTTTTTAATTTATAATTTTTCTAACTTTATTAATGATAAAAAATTTAAAAAAAAATACAAAACTTAAAAAAAAACGTTCGACGATACAAACATGATATTTTTGACAAATTTATAAATAAAGATTTATTACAATAATAGTCGTTGAAGTTTTTTATATAAATATGAAAAAAATCATAATATATTCTTATATTTTTTTTTTTTGCCAAATTTTATAAAACATTATTTAATACAGTATCGTCAATTTCTCGAGAAAATATTTATGGTACGTTTTTAATGGATTTAACTGAAAAAATCGAAGTTTATTTCATCAATTTATGTATCAAATTCTTTGATCACTAATTATAATGTTTAGTTATAACTTTGCAACCAAAGTTGTTGGTTTTTATCAAATATATACGTTACTTCATACCATTTTTATTTTTATTTTTTATACAATAATATATAAAAGTTGATCTAAATTCGTTAATTATTTATAACAAAGTCATAAAAATATTAAAAAATCACTTTGAAGTTTAAAAAAATCAATTTATTTTGATTTCAGTTTATTTTAATAGCCCGCAGATGTTAAAAAACAAACAGTCTTTTTTTTTCAGACTGCAGACGTTTGGTCCACCTCTTCTACTGCAGAGGTCTATAGATGTGGCCCGCAGACTGCAGACATTTTGTCTCAGAAAAAACAAACAGCACCTAAGGTGATCTTTGTTTTTTAAAGGCAAAAAATTCATGAAGTCTGCGGACCACCTCTGCAACAGAAGACGTAGACGAAACGGCTGCATACTGTAATAAGAAACGTGTCTATTTTTTAAAATTTGCAGGCTGCTGTAGATATTAAAAAATTAAAATAAATTGATTTTATAAACCGAAGACAAAGCTATAAAAATGGTCCTTATGGTTTGCTAAAAGTCACAAACTCGGTCCCTGTTAATTTTTTATGCAAATGGTCATTGTGGTTTGCAAAACTTGCACGAATGACCATTTTTACTAACTTCGTTAGGATTCAGCCGTTAGGGACTGAATTCGTAAGGGCTCGTCTTTTCAAATATAAAGAGACTGAATTTATAACATTTAGTAAACCACAGAGACTATTTTTGTAATTTTGTCTTAAAAATAATATAAATGATAGATAATAGGGAGAGTTCAAACTTGAGACCTCTTCCCCCTCTCACTTAATCAACCAAAGCCTTAGCAAACTAAGTTAGAGCCACACTTGCTTTATATTTTTGAAAACTAATTAATATTATCTACAAATCGTGAATAAATTAATAATAAAAAATTTTAAAAAACATATTTTTACAAAAAAAAAATTAATAAAACAAAATATATTTTTAGCATAGTGTAAAAAAAATTATAAACAATTTATATGTTTTTTACGTATTTGTTTTACGTAAAATAAACATTTTTATGTATTTAAAAAAATATGTTTTCATATAATATGTTATTACATTGATATGATCCTAATTTTTTTTTATGTTTTCATAAAAAAATAAGTTTTTTTTTTTGCTTTCACGTAGAAAAAAAAATTTACGTATTTATTTTATATAAAATATGTTTTTTATATATTTAAAAAATACGTTTTCGTATAATATGTTATTACATTGTTATAATCCGAAAATATATACTTTTGAATACATAAAAACGTAATAACATAATATACAAAAATGTAATCCTAAAAAACGTAATAACATATTATACAAAAACATAATACGAAAACGTAATCCTAAAAAAATATATTTTTAAATGCAAAAACGTAATCCTAAAAAAACGTAATAACATATTATACTTTTAAATAAATAAAAAAAAGTAATAACATTTTATAATCCGAAAATATACTTTTAAATATATAACGTAAAACAAACTAAAGAGGTTAACAAAACATAAAAATGCGTTTTCGTGTAATATGTTATCACGTTAACGTTTTTACGTAAAAAAAATATTTGCATATTCACTTTAAATCAAAACTAAAGATGTTAAGATAACGCAAAAGTATATTTTAGGATTATAACAACGTAATAACGTATTATACGAAAATGTATTTTTTTAAATACATAAAAACATACTTCATATAAAATAAATATATACAAAAATGTAACATCCCAAAAATACGACCCAAAAGTTTCATTTTCATAGTTACTAAACCCATATCCCAAAACATCGTCAATTTCAAAAGCAATGTGAACATATGATGATCATAGTATTTAATCAAAACAAAACATAGAAAAGTATTATGAGAGAATAAGTCCCAAAATCACTATTGCGGAAAATCATAGTGTGATGCGATGCGATCATGTCGGCCCCTTTCCCTTCGAGCTGGAAGTACCTGAAACACACACTGAAACTGTAAGCACAAAGCTTAGTGAGTTCTCCCACCATACCACATACAAAATAAACATACTGCCAAGCATATCTGGGTGTTGGCCTACCCCCTTCGGTCTATTTCAACCGGATATTGCCGAGCATATCTGGGTGCTCGACCTGCCCCTTCGGTCTATTTCAACCGGATAATGTTGGATAATGTCGAGCATATCTGGGTGCACGACCTGCTCTTTCGGTCTATTTCAACCAGATATCGGGTCTATTTTACCCCTACCACTACCATATAATATCACACATAATTCACAGAATCGTTAAATAATACACGCACAACTGATAACTATCACAAAGACAATCATCATGCTATATCATAACTAGTAGGTCGGCCTTGGTTCCTTCAACCCACGAATTCTACGAAAGGAGACTCACCTCAACTATGGGTGTCAAATCGTACTCAGCGAACGACTCGTGAACTCCTCTTCCTATCACACAACATAAATTTCTAATTAGCCATTAGATTACATTATGACTCCAAGGTCCAACCCTAATTCATGTCTTAAGGCAAAAGGTTCCCTAATCCTTGCCTTATTCGGCCTCTTCCTCCCAAGGCCCAATTTCAAAACAACCCAAAGTATCCAAGCCCAATCAAATAAACTCTAAGACCCAAAAGGCCCATATACCATCCATCATAGCCCTAGGCCCATAGGCCTTAATCCACAGGTGGGCTCGAGGCCCAACAAATCAAGGCCTAACATCCAAGAGCCCAAAAATCACTTTTCTCCACTGCATGTGTACGCGCAGCGTACTCTGCATGTACGCCCATCGTACGCTGATCTTTGAAAAGATACGGGTGGTTGACCTAGTACGTGCAGCGTACCAGGGAGTACGCCCAGCGTACTGGCCAACCAACCCAAAAACCTTCTTGTGACTTAATCCATTAATCCATAACGTCCAAAACATAGATCCAGGTCCCTAAAAATGTCCTAATCCATAAAGTTATAAACTTTATGCTTTTGCATGCATGGATGGGGATTAAGACATAGATTAAGTCCATAAACACACTTAGTTGATATCTAGTACTTGCATGGTTGAGGCTAAACCATCAAGGTCTGATTTTTATGGCTCCTAACACTTCTAAGAGCCTAAAAGGACAGTTCATATGGACTGATGTTGGAGCATGGAAATGCTCTACAAATAATGAGTGATAGTTAGGTTGTATTTTCCCTTTATTGCATTTATGGTGTAAATACTCTCCCTCCTATATAAAGGGAGAGTTGGTCATTTCTTACTTTAGCCAGCTCATTTTTTCTTAGTTAGAGATTACTTTTCTCTCACAATGTAATCTAGAGAGAGAGAAAAGTGGTGGATTCTCCCACCCAGGGAGAGTTTCTCTCCCACCATGTTCTTCATGCATCAATATTATTCTCTCTTTGTTCTTAGTCTTCTTCCATGAACTCATAATATGTTCTTCGTGTTCATACTTACAAAAACACAATTAATCTCGAGATATCTTACTTCCGCATTCACCGTTCGTATAAAAATGGGTCTCTACAATTGGTATCAGAGCCGTACCTTGAAGATCTCACGATTAGTTCAAGGGAACGACTCCCGTTCGGTGATTATCTTGTGATTTTTCCGTGTTTCTGCAAGAAAAAATTTTCAGGTTTCAAACCGGAATTTTTTTATGAAGTTCGTTCTTAGTTCTATTTTCTGGGTGATTCTTACTTAATAAAATAAATTGTTGCTGCTGCTGCTCGTTCTATTTGTTGCTGGAAAAAGATGTTCTTAAAAGATTATTATTGAAGCTGTTGAAGAAATGAAGAAAAATGGGAGAAGAAATTATTTTTGTGGTCTCCAAATTGTTGAAGAATTTGCTCCATGAGTTCTTTTTCTTGGATGAGAAGACACAAAAATTATGGGCTTATTATTCTTGAAGATAGTGGAGGAAAGCAACTTTTTCTAGAAGATTTTTTTTCTACAGCATGTTTATTATGATCATCATAAAAGGTATGATATTCATACATTCTACCTTTATTTGTTGCTGTGAATCTTCAAATTAGTGCATATGGACGTGTTTAAGTGTTTGCATAAAGCATATTGTCATTGTTACTCTTTTGGGTAAAGAGTACTCCACTTTTCACTCCCTCAAAAAGACAAAAACCATGTGACATTGTCCAATCCCATCACTTTTTGTCCTTAAAACCCACCTGCACACTCCTCATTTTTGTCTTCCCAAGACCCACTTTTGACTTAGAATGCTTTATAAAAAGATTCTCTCATTAAAATATGAATA